GCATTAAAAGCAGCCAAATGACTCAGTTCTGGATGCATTGGCATCTAAAGATAACATGTCATGATTTTACCTTTTTTGTTGAATCAACATGATTTTACTTTTGGCGTAATTCCAGCTATATGTAACATTGCACTTTGTGTGACATTAACAGTACCTAGAGCATTCTACTAGACAGAATAATCAGATTTACTAACGCTGGCCTCAGACTGGTGACTGCAATTTGTTGCAACCATGCACCTGTGGTTCACGCTGTCGCGAGGAAATGGGGCGTGATGGGAGGAGCAAAAAGCAGCAGTAGCAGCAGCTTATGGTGTCAATTGTTTTGAGTCTTTGAAGAATTCACCACGGTGAATAGAACTGAGTTGGGACTAGGACTTGGGATCAGGCTATGAAAATACCTCTCTTGCACAGCCCCTTTTTTCACTGCCGAAATTTCTGTGCAGACTCCCTTGGGTCTGTCAGGAACAGTGTGTGCCTGTGGCCGGTAATTGATAATGCGGCCCAGGCAGCCCTAGCTCTGGTCAGTGAAGCGGCAACCAGCCTGAAGAGGCAGAAAGGCTGAAGTGCACTGAGGTGAAGCTTAGCCCTCAAACTCTGTGTCTAGGGCTTAAGAGAGGAGGGAGGGTAGGAGGTGAGAACTAAGGGAAGCAGATGAAACAGAATCTATTCACACTGACAGGATAACCAGAGCCCATTCATTTGTTTACATTTACATTTTAGGCAGTTAACAGGCACTCAAATCAATCAATACTTAACCACAATCAAAATTAAAATACAGCTTCTTTAACACAAAACAGTATTTATAAGCACCCACAAGTCATGAAAAGGTCTGAGGCTTTTTTCGCAACAGAACTCCTGCGACCACAGATTGCTTATGCAAGAGTGAAGTATGAAGAGAAGGAACAGAAATAAAATAACCACTAAGGAGTTTGATAAAAAGGATCATTTAGTTGAGAGAGGGTGCCATTTGCTGCCTTTTGAATAGAGGAGTTATTCAGAGGGATGGTGAGTGGAGACCAGGTGGAGCAATGACTAGGCCTCAGCAGCGAGCAGGCCGAAAGCCAAGTGGCTGATGGGCACAAAATGTAGAGCATGGTCTTGTGTGGGGCTGTATTTATGCCTGCAGACATGGGGGTGGAGATTCCTCTCCATCTCTGTATACAAACACCAAGGCTTTGAACTTAATATGAGCAACTGCAGAATCAGATTTTAATCAAACTTACTTGTATGTTCACAAATTCATCTGATGAGTCAGTTTGGTTGAATTCATCAACTTTTATTTGATCCTAGCACCTTGAAGGAGTTTGTGATTATACAGTAGATTTTGGGTATAACTACATATGCCATTAAAGAGATTAATTTGTACATACAAGCTAAGCAATTTGTATTTTTATTGAATAATTTGTCATATCTTTGTAAATAAAATGTATGTTTCTATCATAGATTGATGTATTCATACTGAGGATTCAATTTCAATCTTACATCTTATAAAGTCCTCTATAAGATTAGTTCTTTAATAAAACCAAAAATCAAATATAATATTTAGAAAAAAACATCTTTAGATGTTATTTTTTACTAGTTCAACACTCAAACGCAGTGCTGGCAACATGAGCAAACAACCCCTCAAGTGTCATCAGATTCTAAGTCTGCATTCAGACCGAGTTTCAAAGGTATGAAAAAAAAACGCACTCCATTTTATTTCTATGGGGGACTGTGTTCACCACAGCGAGCACCAGCAACGCAAGGGGGCTCTGGCAAATTGATGCAGCCCCGTGTAGCTAAAAGATTGGATTTGGTCCAACCTTTGCCGCACTGAACTGGCAAAGGTTGATCAATCACGTACAGGGGATGGTCGGAGCATGGAAGAAGACTCTTTTGTTTACCTTTTGGTTACATTCAGCATTCACTGCTATTCACCTTTGAATTTGGGCTACAGTTACAAATGCACCATAACGGTACACCTTGCCTTTTTGTTAGTCAGGGCAATGGATGTTAAACTGTGTATTCCATCTATCAGTGCTGAAACACAGGTTGTAGACATTGGTAGTACGGTAGAGTAGGCTATGGCTAACCAAAACACAACAGAAAGCTGTGGGCCGAAAATGTGAATGAAGCCACTCACGTTGACTCGTCACAACTTGGTTGTATCATATGCGCCTACAACCCCTCGCCCCCTATCAACGCGGCCCCTTTTGTTAAAACACAGCAGAGAGTTCTATTTTACTATACTCAGTCTGAATGCCCACTTATTCAGATGTCACTAAATTCTGATTGGTGCATAAAGGCATGGAATATCACACTTTTCCAACTGAACCCCACCCACATTAAACTTATAAGAAGAGTACAGAAAAAAGGACAAACACGAATACAGGAGTCAAAACTAGTCTATAGTAAGTTTGACAGAAAACTTCATCATTCATGCTGGAAACTGACTGAGAAAATGGGTTTTTAGGGCCTTTAGACCCAGTTGTCATGTTTGCTGCTCAAATCCCCATAAAAAATCCTCTGCTACACAGGAACTAGTGACTTTTTTTAACACAGTCTCAGGCAGTAACAGTGGTTTGTTTAGAAAAAGACAGATGACAAAAAATCATGGCTGTTAGACCAGTGAAAAGATTAAAATTGCTCCAAAGCCTGAGTCTTGATTAGCAGGGACCCCAATAATCCCAGAGAAGTGTGTGATGATTTCAAGTGTGTAGATTTTTCTGCTATTGTGTCGAGCTGACAGGTTTAGACAAGTCCTGAACTTCCAGTCTTCACTAGCCATGTCAGCACTGTCTGTGACATTTAGGAAGTTGTCAGCCTTTTCTAGACTTCACATATGAACAGAACAAATAGAACAGTGAATATCAGCACCAGGAAAATGTACTTTATCCTTACAGAAAAGAGGTCTGTGGTTCTGAAATACTTTGGCGGTACTTTCAGCAAGATATTTGTGGATTTGTTAAATGCCAACAGTGGGAAAATCTGTCAGTATAATAGCAAAAGAAAAGGGGACAGTCTCAGACTCAATGGCTGTTGTCTCTGGCTTGTTCTTATGGTAAAAACATGGTAAATTTCAATTCAATTCAGTTTATTTTATTTCAGTTCTCTAGTCCAGATAGATAAAAGCTGACAACAACACACTTTCTACTGATCAGATGTTTGACTGGTTCAGATTAAGGTCTTGTTCATTCTGAAAAGTGAGTCACTGAAATTTAAAGTTGTGTAAGCAAACACAGACACACACATGGATGAGGAATTTCATCATGAATGATGTCTTCATTCTGTCTAATATCACAGTCTCTTACTGGCATGTGAAGAGTGAAGAGGAGCAAGGATGATGAAGGGATGATATTGTAAAGGACAAAAATGACAGAATGAGCAGGAAATTGCCAAGTGTCTTGGTTATTTGTCAGCCCAGGAGTGCATTCAGGTGTACTGGGCCTGAAGGATGAGATAGACTGAGCAACTGGGCCAAAGTGATCTCAATGCTAGATTGAATCCAAAAGGTTTCATTTAGTGAATAACATGTAGTTCTTATACAGGTAGGCTCTTGTGTTTTGTACTGACTGTGTCCTCTTTCTGAGTTTAGCTTTTACTGTATTTAGAGCATATACAAACCCTATAAATACACAAGGCCTTGTTTTGCTACAGATCAACAATCACAGTCTGCTTGTGCCTGCAAAGTGGCAGCTTAATTGGCTGCAAGCATATTTCTTTCCTGACTGCACGGTTTAGTAATTTAATGGCTCACCATGACATCATTGACACTGAAATCAGCAGTGGAGTGTATCATGAGGGGTGTCAAAATAGATCAGGTGAAAAAAATTTCATAAACATTTGTCATTTTTGTCATGTTGCTTCCAGATATGCAAATGGGACAAACTTTTTCCTCTGCCAGTGTTATATTTGCCCATTTCTCTAAACTAATGTCTAACTGAACGAAAGCAATTTAATATGCCCTCCTGCTGTACATGCTATTCTGAGTAATACATTTGTGGTATTATTATGTTGTCCAGTATGACCATATGTAGTGGCAAATATGAATGTGAACATACTGCCACTCCTGAGCAAGACAAAGGAGATCACTTCTTTATGAACTAAGCATTTTTTTGCAGAGATTTGTAGCACTGTTAACTACTACATCCAATGCATCCTTTGGACGCCACACTTAATTCTGCCTAGGTAGCCAAAATTACTTAACCATACACCAGGTTATAACTTAATTTGTTGCTGGAATGATGCCAAACACGTGGTGACTAACAATTCTGGTGTAAAGGTACCCAAGTCCTGCTAACTGGAGCTGATACTCAGCCCAAGTCCACACCATCAAGTCTTAGCCAATTCTGGCAGCCTCATTTTGGCCAAAGCCAGATCATACTTGGTCCTGCAGTGCCAGAATATGGCTGAGTGCAGCTCTAATCAGCCTCGACTCAGCTGGCTACCTGGGTACTGATGAGAGTGGCAGTACACTTGTATAGTACAAATACTGTTTAAACTTGGGATGTGTGCAGAGCACTTACTGCTACCCAGTATATCGTCTGTATCTGAAAGATCACTGTGGTATAATGCATCATTTTATGTAGCTACATAGGATAAAATGTATTTCAAATGTGCACTAATGACAGTTGTTTCATCACTGACCTGATACACCCTGTTTGAATCTAAAGAAAGTAATAAATAAGGCTACAGTGCACTGGTACCACTTTTACTTTAGCTTCACCTTAAATCTTAAGTAAAGAATTGTGATGCCTGGCCAGCAGACTCTCATCTAGTGTCTGGGTAAATAGTGGACAGTAAAAGCAAACCTCACAGCCTAGTGGCTTCTGCTCACTGCACTGTGCAGTCAGCATTAGCAAAGGAGATTCACACTACCTCTGAATGACTGCAGTGTTTTATTATCTTGAAGTAAACAACTACAGTATGTACAACCTTCAAGCACTTGTGGGTTAGACTTATCTGTAATCCATCATTTTAGAAATGTGCTGATTTTGTGTTACGCTTTCTATGCTTTACAGCTCCCTCCATAGTTCCCATCATGCACCAGATCAGCTCCACCATGAATAGCTTCACACTGTCATGGCCACAACCAGATCAGCCCAACGGCATCATTCTGGACTACGAACTCCGTTATTATGAGAAGGTAAGCTAAGGGTGTGTGTGCATTTAAGTGTATATTTGCATGCACATATTTTTACGTGTATCTGCAGTGGTGTAGTAGACACACCTTTATACATGCATAGTAAACTGCATTTAAGGCTCCCCAAAAAATCTGAGCTCCCCCAGATATCTGTGAGCAGTGTCCCCTGGGCTGATAATATGTTCTTTCACTAAGCTCACTCCATCTCTCCCACTGTTCTTTGGTTTCTGCCGCTGATGAAGTGAATAGGTTGACCTCTGCTCCAGGCCCACTCTTCACAGTGCAGCAACCTGTCCCGCTGTGAAAATGCATTGCGTCTAAGGGGTGACACATCGACCCGTCTGCTCACATACAATACGTCGGCTTTATTAAGTCGCCAGCCCTGCCCCACTGTGCCCATGCTGCTCCAGTATTGACCTGTAGGCTTTTCCCAAGGCCTTGGACATAATGATACAGAGAAATCGTAGACTCTAGCTTTTTTGTTTGGGCCCTTGTTTGTCCTCCCAAAGCCGATCGATAAGTATAGCAAGGTTGGTCATGCATGTTTTTCCCCCCCCCCAGTCTTTCCTATCTTAAGCTAAGATTTTTGCAAGGCTTTGTACACCCTCACCCATGTTTGGCTTTTAAAGAAAAGACAAAAATCAATAGAGTTTTATAAATGGTTTTCTATTTCTGTTGAGTTATATCTTTCACACAAACTCATTTTGGGTAAGGTTCCCAGATCAATATTCATAACCCCACCTAAGAAAAGATTTTGTCACATTTAGCATTTTCTATCAGAGAAAACAACAATCATGTTTTTAAATGATGTTTGCTATTGGAAACTCAGTTATCCAATAAAAGCTGCATCACTAGCTATTTTCCCCTGTGGCATTGCACAGGTCATGAAATTGAATCCGATTGCCATGGCCCTGAGAAACCTTATCTGCTAGACA